CTCTTCCATTCCTTTCCACATTGTTTTCAATTATCATAGATTGGGTATAGAAAATGGAATGAATCAGAAATCTCTAATAATGTCACAAAACTCAATGACCCTTAACTTGAATGACTCTTAAGTCTATTTCATGTACATCATAAGTAAAAAATGACACTGCAGACATAAGGTACATGCTCATCAATATCTCTTCCTGGAATGTTCAAAACAATGTGTGTTCATTTCCATAGAAAACAAAGCCTTGAGTGACCCTATGTTTTACATGGAAAAATTAAACTGACGTCTTTTGTGTGCTTACTGATGATTTCTCATTTTGTGGATACGTGCAAGAAGAGGGGAAAAATCTATTAATCCCCCTGGTGTAAATGTTTCTTAATCGGAAAGCACTCCCCAAGTGCAGAAATCATTGAATATTTCCAGGGAAAGGTTATGCAAGACATGACTGATGTGAAGCAGTAAAGGGCTTTGCGAATGCAGGTGTGGTATCAGAAGACAGTAATTTTATTCCAGTCTTTCTTGCCATCTGGCATCTACAGTTACACTTGGCTCATACACTATAGAATATTACTCACAGCACATTCATGTATTGGCTGGCAGCTGACACAGCTGACATATAATAGTGTATTTCTTTCTCAAACTAGGAAGTTTAGTATCGTCTCCCTTTCTTTTTTGAAATCATGCCATAGGTTACAACAATTGTTTACATGAATTGATGTTTTTGTTGATGTTCGTATTGCCTTTGTATACCGATTTTAGGCTGTTTTTGACTATCATTGCTAGTGCCATTGTTTGGAAGATCATGTATTATAAACATTTGAACAATTCAATGATTCCACTCTAATTAGAATATGAAATTATGGCTTTGCTTTAATATATAAATGCAGCATGTGAAATTTAGCTCATAGCCTTTAGATCCGAGTTAGAATTTAAGAAAGCAGGTACTCTTGAGTTGCAGTTCTTGATTTGTCCAGACCACCTTTATTTTTTATTTTTTTGCCTAAAAAGGATTACTAAAAGCTTTGAAGAAAAACAGTTTTTTTAAAAAAATAAGTTTCAGGGAGCATGGCGCTCTTCCATATTAAATTTTAACTATAAGTACCAGAATGTCAAAATAAAAGTTAGAACTCCAGCAGCTTAAACAAAAATTGGGCATTTTAAGCAAGCCCCTCAACATTCTTCAGGAGAAAAAAAATTGTCCCATGGATCTACCACAGCTGCTGACCACTGGTTTAGGTCTTTATAACCCCATTTACATTGCCAAATTGCAAAGCTGAAGTGTCAGTAGAAGTAACTTCAACAATATTAGATGTTAGTGCAGGTTATCACCTACAAAGCCCTAAACAGTTCGGGCGCTGCCTATCTTCACGACCGCATCTTCCCCTATGAACCAGCGGGGCTCTAAGATCTGCCACAGAGACCCTCCTCTAGCCCCCATTCTACCCACCTTCCACAAGGACTTGAAAACTTGGATTTTCCAGTGTATTTGATGATTATTAGTCCCTATTTATGAATGCCCAGTGTACAGATAAGGTTGTACTCAGCACTTTATCCCTTGCCCTGGCCCTACAATCTGCTTGTTGGACAAGTCCATGCCCAGCCCTCTCTATTCTGATCATGCCAATTGTATTCCTGGTTACTGGCTGTTAAGTTGATTTGATATGGTTTTAAACATTGTTTTTATACTTTGCTGTTTTTAATTATGTTATAATTCAATAGTTATGTTATACAGTTCTGGTCCAACATACCTGTCTGATCGCATCTCCCTCTATGAGCCTACAAAAGCTTTAAGATCAGCTGTGGAGGCCCTGCTCCCTGTCTCAACCTCTTCGCAAGTGCAATTGGTTGGGACAAGAGACAGGGCTTTCTCAGTGGTGGCCCCTCAGCTGTGGAATTCCCTTTCCCATGACATCAGGCAGGCCCCATCCCTCCTGGTTTTTTAGGGAAAAAACAAGATCTGGCTCCTCTCACAGGCATCTGGTGAATAGGAAACTACAGAAAGAGACTTTAACAGCTTGAATAATGGACTATGGATTTTGGAAAACGATTTGGACATGAGATTATGACTTGGCATTTTATATGGTTTTAATCTGTTTAATTGATTGATATATGCTTTAATTGCTTATATGTTAAGATTGTTTAGTTTAGATAAGAAGTGTTTATTGTTTACCTGTGTGACATTGAATTTTGCCAGATTTGTAAGCCGCCTTGAGTCCCCTTTGAGGTAGAGAAAGGGGAGGGGGTAGAAATGAAGTAAATAAATAAAATTATTTGGTGAATTTTGTTGTATGACCTGGGCTTGTTCCCACTTGTAAGCTGCCCCGAGTCCCTTCGGGGAGATGGTGGCAGGGTATAAAAATAAAGTTGTTGTTGTTGTTGTTGTTGTTGTTGTTGTTGTTGTTGTTGTTGATTTCCAGCAAATGGCTTTGATTCTCTGACCCATAAGTACTATTGGATAGCATCAACTAAACTTTCTTCCTGACTTTTCCTCTCCTCCCCTGTTCTATGTTCCACCTCGTAACCAATTATTGTCCCCGGTTCCTGCTTCTTAGGCCATTATTTTTCCTTTGTATCTCAATTTAGGGCTATTTCACACAATGCAATTATTGCATTATAATTCCACTTTAACTGTCGTCGTGTACTTACAAGCCATTTTCAATTCATGGAGGCCCAAAACATATCTGTCATAGGGTTTTATTAGCAAGAGTTGTTCAGAGGGGGCTTGCCTTTGCCTTCCTTTGAGGTTGAAAGAGTGTCACTCAATGAGTTTTCATGGCTGAGTGGGAATTTGAACTCTGGTTTCCAGAATTTTAATCTAACAGTCAAACCACTACTCTATGCTGAATCTTTAACATCTATAGTTTTATGGAATCTTGTTACTTGCAGTTTAGGGAAAGGCATTTAAATTTCTCAGCCAGTGAAGCCTAGATTCTCCACCAGATCCATGATTCCACTGGGAACAGACATGGCAGCTAAAATGGAATCATAGTGTTATATGTTACATCCCGATTAGACTACTGCAATGCGCTCTATGTGGGGCTGCCTTTGAAGACTGCCCGGAAGATTCAATTAGTGGTGTTTTCTGTGAATGGTGTTTTCTGTGAGGTGCCATGAGTCCACCCTCGGGGGTGAGAAGGGTGGGGTACAAGTATATGAAATAAAATAAAAATAAATAAATAAAGGTGTAGTGTTAACAGGTCACCAGTTTCTCTTTCCCAACCCATTGTCAATGGTGAAGCTTGCCTTTAGATATCTTGCCATTCTCAAAGCGTGTCATCTAGACCATCTTTCTAGTCTTGTGCCTCTTCTGGCCCCGGAGATAACCAAATGAGAGAGAAAACAGCTCATTGCCACAAACAATGCTGTTATAGTTATTAATCTGTGCTAATTCATTGAGAACTAAATGTGCACAGACAGGGAAGCTTGGACATTTGTTCAATGCCTGTTGTATTTTATTTTATGTGGCATACTCCCTTGCTCCTAACAATGATACCCATGTTTACACATCCTCCTTTGGGACCATTCATACCTTACAAAATGGGGCAAGTTATTCAGTTGCTTTAAGGAGTCAGGAAGGAATTTAAAATATTTTCATCTTACCTTTAAAGAATAAGTTGGCTTGTTAGATGGAAAAAACAAAACTTTGGGTTCAGTCCAATATTTATAATAATGACTGAAGTTCCAGATTTCCTTTGTAAGGCTAAGAATCCACACAAAAGGATTTAGCTGTAAATTGTGTGAATTTTATGTGCTCTATAGAGGCTAGCATTTGCCCTCCCAAATGTGCCATATCTCTGTTCTTTGGTTCCTATTATTTCTTTATTTCCTGGACCCTCTCCAGGGACCAGTTATAACAAACCGTAACAGCAATATACCATATAGCATGTTTTCTCACATATATATATCTCAATCGTACACTATGGAATGTTCATCTTTATAGTGTCACAGAAATCTGTCTTGTTTTTGTAGCAGCAGGCTAACATGGCTACCCCATTAAAAATAAAACTCCAAAATCTGGGCATAAATTTGGATAAGGAGGAAGCATTCATGCAACCTCACACCTCTAATTTCAGGAGTTGGAGATAGTACCATATATATTCGAGTATAAAATGTCCTGAATATAAGCAGGGTTTTTTTTACCACAAAAAACAAAAAACAAAAACAAAAAACTGGGAACTTATTTATTGACTTGCGTATAAGTCGAGGGTGGGAAATACAGCAGCTACTGGTAAATTTCAAAAATAAAAATAGATACCAATAAAATTACATTAATTGGGGCATCAGTAGGTTAAATGTTTTTGAATATTTACATAAAACTGTAATTTAAGATAAGACTGACCAACAATAAATAATTATTCTAATCTTCTTCAATGTAAATGTGCTTATGTATCCTTCCAATAATAATAATAAATAGAGTAAAATAATAAATGTAACAACAATAATAGAGTAAAATAATATGTAATAAAACAATAACAAAGAGTAAAATAATAAATGTAATAATAATAAATAGGGGGAGAAGGGAGAGGGGAAGAATCTCATTTCCTGACATCACGTCCCTGCCAGCATACCAAGGTAGGTACAGGAACATTGCAGGATTGTGAGCTACTATGGGCCTTACCCGTTAATAGCTAGGAATGGAAAAGTCATAGGGAGGAGGTAAGCTGGCAGTGGTCCTGCTGCAATGCCAGTTTGCTAATTTCATGCACTAAAATCCTGTTGAAGTGAGACCCCCCCCCCCTTACTCAGTCCAGGAGATGCCACTGTATTATATCCCAAGTAGTGCAACAGATTCTCTGATTAGTTGTAGGAGGAATCTTAATTTTTTTAATGCAACGCTACATTGACAATAAAATATTTTCAAGAAAATAGTATCTGTCTGCTGTCAAGGGCTGTGGATGGTAACAAACTTCATTCTCAGCAACAGACTGGAACTTTTAAGATAAGTGAAAAGGCAATCCAGTTTGCAGAACTGACACACAAGTAATTCTTTCTGTTCTTTGCAGGCATGAATCACATACAAAGTATCTGCGGAGTATTCCAGGAAGAAGAGTGACACAAAAGAATACCTTGCTGTTGTTGCTGTTCCTCTCTGAATTGAGCTGGATGGTGCAAACACACCTTAAGACAAATATCTTGTTTCTCATGTCTAGATGTTTTGGAAAGAATGCAATAAAGACTGCCAGTACTATTTAGTAAACTAGAAAGGCTGCTAATAAAATTTTTGACATGATGATTAATTTGACTCCATCCAGGAAGCATTATAAAAGATGCCATTTTAATGCTACTGTGCAATGTGTGATCACGGTGATATTCAAAGGCTTCTTTGTTTTTCTTTTATGTTCGTAGAAATTGAAACATGTCCCAACTTTGGTACTCCTGTAGACTTTTGCTAATAATAACTGTAGACAATATTACTGATACTCGTTTTCCCATATGCTAGGAGGGAAGCATATTGCCTGGAAACTCAGATTTCCTTGTCAACTGAGGCACAAGACTCCTGTGGTAGTAGACAATAATGTATGTAATTGCTTCAGGCTCCTTCTACACTGGGGCTGGATTAGCACAGCAGGCTAAAACACTGTGCTGCAGAAAAATCCTGCCCATCAAAAGAACGGCAGTTTGGGCCTGTGTCGGGGTAAGCACCCGCCATTATCCCCAGCTCACCTGCCCATCTAGCAGGTCGAAAGCAGAAATGTCAATAGATAAAAATTACCACTTTTAGTGATGAGATAATAAAGGTGCCCTTAAGGACATTGATCGGAGGAAAGCTCTTCAACATCGAAGATGGAGCGACAGCACCCTGAGTGGCCGGAGTTGAGCACAGCCTCCAAGATGCCAGAAATAAAATGAGAGAAACTGTTTGTGTTGTCTGTCCTTTTAAATTGTTAATTGTATAACCATCATCAAATGTTTGCCGTATGTGTGTTCTGTAGAGCCTCTTTGAGTCCCCTTCAGAGTGAGAAGGGCAGGGTATAAATACTGTAAATAAATAAATACACTGTCTCTATATCCTGGGATCTGATCCCAGGTTATCTGCTTTGAACTGCATTATATGAGTCTCCAGTGCCTTATAATTTGGGATCATTAGATAATCTGGGATCAGATCATGGGATATAAGGACAGTGTAGAAGTGGCCTCTGACATCTCTGAATAGTCTGCACCTTGCCTTGTGGCAGATGCAGACACTTCAGAGGAGAAAAGGACTTAGGCTAGCCAGATCAAACCCTAGTTTTAAATATACAGTATAACTGTTGTCTTAGGTTAAAAGATTTCCTTGCAAATACAAAGACATTTTAACAGAACTATGAAACACTTTATTACAGGCAAAATAGGAGCAATGTTAAATATTCTCATATTTAGGCAGAGTATCTTTTATAATATATCTTCACTGGGCCCAGAGGCCACTTTTCTGAGAAGTAACCAAATCAAAGAAACAAAAATCAGGGAAATTAGAATATTTTATTTAATATATGAAGAGAAAATAAAATATTTATTACTTTTAAAACTATAGTATATCAACTTAAATAACAAGGCCAAGTCAAGGTTTGCTTTTGGGATTTTAAAAAAATATTTTCAAGTGGTGGATTGTTCAACCCATGAAATACAAACTCTGTGGATATGGAGTGCTGACTATACAGTACTATATTTGTCCTGTGAGCTCTGATAGAGAGGATGGGTGGTTGGAGCTGCAGACCAACAGCTTTCAGCAGCCTGCACAGCAGAGTGTAGTAAGTGCAGGAAGAGAACCCTTAGCATTATCCACCACGTCACAGCAGGAGGAGGAAGCAGAAGCCAGCAGCGTAGGCTGCCAAAATATTAACTGCTCCTACTCATGTGCAATTTCACAGAGAGTGAGCTCAGGTACACAAGTCTGCCAAGTTAGCTGAGAATCAGACTATCCAGAAGCAATACCTGTGGCCTTAGCATTAAAGACTCTTGAGTTTGCAGTTTTGTTCTTGGAGGCAACGTCTTGCTAGGTGGTGTTTTCATGAACTTGTTGTGTGACTGGCTTTGTGAACCCTGGACCAGAACTACAATTAAATACTTTGAACTATCTCTTACAATTATTTATACTGTTACTAGCTTGTTTGACCTCAGAACATGGACACTAATGGGGTTGTGGATTTAGGCTTTTATTCAAAAATTCTCGGTGTATGACCTCTGAACTTGGATATTGACTATTTGTGTTAGAGCATGAATGAGGCACATCATGACAATATTCTACTTTTCTATTTGACTGATCATTCTAAATTCTCAATGAAGATTCATTGAGATATAGCCATGGTAGTTAAAGAAGAATACAATAAATGGACCCTATCTCAGAGCAGACTAAGCTGGCTCCCTGCAGAATTCATCAGAACTTTGCTTCCTGCCAAAAAGCAGCCAAATAATTCTCACCATGTTCACAAAATCCTCAAAAACAGGTAGCAGTATTTATTATACCTTTAAGAAGTGCTAGCAGAAACACCAATCTATTATGAGGTAGTAATGATGTCAACTAACCACCCCTTTAAAAAGTGAGTGAATGAAGGCAAGGAATTCGAAATGGTGTCACTATGTCCTCTTCAGGGTTTATCTCATTATTCAGCAATGAAACAAAGAAAAGGTACTACTAATTTGGAAAAAGACTGTTTCCTTTCCATTGGCTAACCTTTTGAAAACATAATTATGTGTTAATAAATATTATCACTGAAAAAGGCCTATACTTAATGTGTTTCACTACCATGTCAAAACTACATTAAAACAAACTTTAGAGTCAGTTATGTTTCAGTTTTTTAGGCAAATGGGTAGAAATGAGGCACAGGAAGAAGGTAATGATGTACCTAGGAACAAAAAGAAATAATACACCCAGTAGAATTTACTTTTGAGAACTATTGTATTTACTCAAATCTAATGCTCACCTTTTTTGGCCAAATTACCTTCTCAAAATTGGAGTGAGCAGTCATAATTGGCAATCACTCGCATCCAAGTAGGGTGACCTTCCAAGCATGGGGTCTTGGCAATGGGTCCATAAGTGACTGTGGAGACCTATTCTTGACCCACATGTTCTCCCACAGTGAACAGTTTTAGTACTGAGCCAAAGCAAAAGGGGAAGCTACTTCAGGAGTGCCTGGAGCTCCTATTAAAGTTAAAGGGGATTCAATCTATAGCATAGATGCACCCCAAGGTTTTATTTTCCATTGCTGAAAGCTTTGGTGTTCTAATTTTTTTAAAAGAAGGAATTATAAGCATGAAACCACTGTAATTTTCACCTTTTTGCCCAGTTTTTTGCCGCTGCCCATTACATTCACTAGTAAATACTTTTTTAGTTTCAGGGTTTTGAAAGTTGAGGTGCATATTAAATTCAGTGGCACATTAGACTAGGGTAAATAAGGGTAGTATACAATATTTCACTGGTATGTTCTGTATAACCATGAAACTCATTTCAAAACTCTCAACCTACAAGAACAAAATGCTTTCCCTTATCAGGTGGAAGCAAATGCAATAAAAAGAAGGAACATGAATATACCATCTTTTTAATTCTTACCATATAGGACTTTGTCCCAGAATCGTTTTTAGTTCTGTTTGCCTTTTTTAAAAGCTGGCTTTTGATTTGCTTTGAATTTTTCTCTTTTGAATTGCCATCATTAACCTAGTTATGACAAAACAACTGTCTGCTTTTATCCTAAATTTGCATAAAGCAAGACAACCATTTTTCAGAGGATTTATGATTCCTTACCCTTTTGATCTTCAGCCTGTCATATAACCTGCAGCACTAAGTGTCTGTTAACTGTAAATAATACAGTATGGTTTACCTCATTTTAACTGTTGTGGGTTTTCAACATGTAAAGGTTGCTAAGTACAGCAGAGAGCAGTGGGTAAAAGGTGCTCCATTGTCAAATATAAAATATGATATGCACAATAAACTGACAGCTAGGTTAAGCTTAAATTAGTCTGCTGAAACTAGCAAGTAAACTTCCTCCTAAGTTAACATTTAAAACAGCAATGTATCATAATCTAATTCAAAATGTTGTTCTTGTATACCTCCATACCATTTCAGACTTTGATTTGGCAGATATCTGTGAGGAAGAAGTGGGACAATGTAAGACTTTAAGTGAAAGGGTACATATATTCAGTAACAAGACACATGTCTATAACCCAACATCCAGGGTTCTCTTGAGCCTAACATTTGAGAAGAAGCCAAATACACAGTGAAGATGAATTTTTTATCTAAATTTATTCTAATTTTGAACTAAAGCTCATGGATCCCCGGGGTTTCATAAGACCACATAGAGCTCTTGAGCTGAATTTTCCCCCAAACATAGTTTATATTTACAATTTCTAGGTGAGTAGTATGAGAAAAATTAAAATCATGTCTCTTTATTAGTTTACAGTCCCATTGTATTTTCCTTACCTCAAAGTAGCAGTAAATATATTACTACTACTACTGCTAGCAGAAAAGGACTTCGTTCACATCTGACTAAACGAAAGTTAAGTTTCCCTAGGACTTTTTTGTTGTTGTCAGCTATTTGCAGAACTTATTCTTCTGTCCTTTCAGTCTCATAGGGTGGTTTGCTGTTGAGGCTATTCTGCAGAGTACTAAAAACAGGAAAAGGAAAAAAAAACATTGTGGTAAAACCTGCTGAGACATGCATGTCAATTCTGAAAGTTGGTTATTTTCTGGTCCCCTATAGTGAGATAAAACTGCATTTCCCCACTTTTTAAAAATAGTGGTTTACTGATCATTGGCAGCTTCATTGAGAATATACGACGACAATATACTCATTTTTTTTTGGTGTAGTCAAGAGATCACCATAAACCAACCCAGTAAATGAAACATAAAGTAGAAAATTTCAGTGTGCACATATTTACATTCTACTGGGTGATATGTATTAGTTAAATATAAAGACTTTACTAATGTACATCACGTGACATTTGTAAATGTTTCATTTGTATTTGTGTTGATACTTTTTCTGTTGCTATTTGCTTCTATGAAAAGGGTTAGTATTCTATATTGCAAGTAGTAAAATAAACTCTGCTCAGCGTTATCAGTAGGGATAGAAAGGATAGTTAAAAATATTTGGAAAATGGAAAACCTTGTTAAGAAGATTCTGAAATGATGATAATTTTTTGCAGTTCATGACTTACTGTGCAAAATATTTGCTTGTGGTTGATTTTGTTCATGAAACAGTATTACATGTGCAGAAAAAGGATTCATTAAATTAGCTGTCTTCTGTGTAGTAAATTCTATAATTCAGGATTAAATCATGCAAACGTTATACACAGTTAATTTGCACATAAAACAGTATTTTCTGAAGGTACAGCAAACACACGGGGGGAACGAAGGCAGAACCTTTGCCACAACAGCAAGAAAGCACAACCATGCACACAAGATGGAGGACAAAAGGCAAACAACAAGGCTTGGCCCAAGGCAAGGCCATGAGGGAATCAGAACACACACACACCCTCAGTCATACAAAGCCAGACAGTGGGAAACCACCACTGTATATTATACTTTGCCTTTGCTCTCTACAATTCTTTAATAAAGGTTTCTTTCGCTGCCACCAATTTATTATTTAATTAGGCCACCTCCTTAACTGGAATGTTCATAAATCCACACAAAGACATCAGTTAGAACAAAAAAGGAATATATTATTTATTTTTAAACAGTCAAAAAGCGTAATGATTGCAGATAACTTGTCAGGCTTTTATTGTTACAGAGGATGGTACTTCTATCTTGAATTTCTTTAAAACAACATTTTACACATAGGAATTCAAACAAGAATCTTTTTAAAACAGTTTAAAATTTCCCTTCCTCCCATCTGTACTCTAAACACTATAGAGGCCTATTAACTATTATTCCTCAAAGAGGTTTCTTC